ATGAAGAGATGATATCTAAAAAATAAAATTAAGGGATGCAAGAGGATTATACCTGGGAGAAGGAGAAAGGGAGAGGTAGAATGGGGTAAATTATCTCACATAAAAGAGGTAAGAAAAAGCTTTTAAGGTGGAGGGGAAGAGGAGGGAGTTTTGAAGGAATGAGTGAATCTTACTGTCATTGGATTTGGCTTAAGGAGGGGATAACATACACACTCAATTGGGTATGGAAATCTCTCTTGCCTTACAGGAAAATGGGGGGGGAAAGGAAATGAGAGGGGGGATAATAGAAGGGAGGGCAGATTGGGGGAGGGGTAATCAGAAACAGACATTCTTGAGAGAAGGTCAAAGGAGAGAATAGAATAAATGGGGGGAGGGATAGGATGGAGGAAAATATAGTTAGTCTTTCATAACATGAGTATTATGAAAGTGTTTTACATGACTATGCACGTATAACCTATATCAAATTGCTTGCCTTCTCAGTTAGGGTGGATGGGAAGGGAAGGAAGAGAATTTGCAACTTAATTTGCGATTTGTTTTAAAAAAGAATGTGAAAAATTGTTTTTACATGCAACTGGGCTATAGAAACCAACCTTGCCCTACAGGAAAATAGAAGGGGAAGAGAGGGGTGTGTATGTGATAGAAGAGAGAACAGATTGGGGGAAGGGACATTCAAATAGAATGCACACCGGTGGGGTAGGGGCAGGGGAAAGATGGGGGAAAAATTTGGAATTCAAAATCTTGTGGAAGTGAATGTTGAAAACTAAAAATAAATTAATTAATTATTAGAAAAAATAAATAAAGTGGCAAAGAATAGGGAAAAAAATATGATTCTGGAGTACGATAAACTGATTGCTCACAAGAAGTGTACTCCATCCTGTTAACTAAATGTTAAAATTTGTACCGCTTAGCAAAGCAATTTTTTTTAACATTAATGTGATTTCATGATAAATAAAAATCTTAAGTAATAAGTATAATTAATATTAATTGAAATTTCAACTTTTTATACTATGGTTTATTTGCAAAATAGTTTAATCGTTCATTATACCTTTACTTGGAAAGTGAGCTGCTAAAAACCTTGCTGCAGCCTGAGGAAGTTTAGCCTATTTTAATTTTGGCCTCTACCTGTTCTGGTTTAGAGAGATTCTGTGGTGTAATTTCCTCATTTACAGATGAAGAAAACTGAGACCTGAGAGGTAACTTGGCTTAGGTCACCTGGGAAGTAATAAAGTAGCAGAGTTGGAACTGAAATCTAAGTTTTTTATTTCTTAGATCCAGTGTTCTTTCTACTATACCACCATTTTGCCTTTTTGTGTCTTGTGCAAATTAATAAACCCTCATTCCTATTTTGAACTTGTAGAAGAATAGCTTGTATGTCACAGGTGTATTTATGCTAAAAATTACACAATTTTTGTTAATGTTCATCTTATGGAAAATCTTTGTGATGTAGAGACAAGCAGAGGCATATGAAGAAAAATAAAGGTATACTTGATTATTCAGTATTTCTTCTTGTTTCTTTAACTTTAGATTTTTTCTTCTTGAGTTGAATAAATTGGCAATTAAAAATGCCCACTTTCCCTGGTTTCCCTGGTTTTTATGAAAACAGATTTTGTATTTGTATCCCGTATCACAGGCTTATTGTCAAGATCAAATGGAATTAAGTATACGCTGTGTTTTGCAAACCCTAATGGGAAAATATCATTGTTGTGTGGGACAGTGACCCTAACCCAAATTAAACTCAGAGACTTCTCAAGGTGGAAAGCAAAGGTTACCTTTATTACAATCTTGAGAGATGGCTGTCTGCTCCTTCGATACACATGGAGAGAGAGAGAGAGAGAGAGAGAGAGAGAGAGAGAGAGAGAGAGAGAGAGAGAGAGAGAGAGAGAGAGAGAGAGAGAGAGAGAGAGAGGTAACAGGGGCTGCTTTATAAAAGCAAATCTCCACCCACCACGCAAAATCTCCACCCACCACTATCCCTTATCCCCTTAACTGGGGGTGGGCTTACATTCTAACTGGGAGGTGGGTCAGGTTGGGGATGGGGCAGGGCTTATTCTTTCTGTTATGTGCTTAAAAACAGGGTCTGAGCAGGGGAGGATTTTGAAAATAATAATCAAAAATTATTGACCTTTTGAGGCGACTTCACCCCTGAGAGTTCATCTCTCACATTATTATCCTCAGTGCTACCCAATACAATACTTTGCAGAAGGAAGGTGTTTAATAAATGTTTGCTGAAGGAAAGAATGAATATGAGAGGATATGCTTTGAGACTTTTAACTGGCATTTTAAAGTTTGTACTACAGCATTTCATCATTCAGTTAGTCAGCCTTTGTCAGGGCTTTATAATGTGTAGCTTTCATACAGTTTTAAAAGGAATATGTGAGCACCATTTAGCCAAAATAAACAAATGAATCTGTTTCTCAGTTACCTTGTCAACAACAACAATAAAAAATTTCCTTCCCACCTCTGCTAGGCTCATTTTGTTTTGCCATCTCCCATTTCTTCTTTGCCTAGGTATCAGGGTTTCTGGGCAGCATGTGTTTAGAGGAGGAAGAGGAGGAGGAGGTGCTGAGATTAACAGCCTAGAGAGTAACATTAGCTTTTTTTGCCTGCCATATCAAACTTTTGATTCACATTGAGCTTGTATTCCCCCAGAACCTTTTTAGACAAATTGTCATATACCTTATTTTCTGTGAATTTGATTTTTTGAACCCAAGTGCAAGAATTTATTACATTTCATCCTATTTTTTGGTTATTTCTTTTTATTCTGAACTTAAGAAACAACAGAGTGGGCATTTCCTTATTTCATAGACGAAAATGAAAAAGAAGATAGTGCGTGAAACTCTAGATCTCTTTAGAGCTGTACTATTGACTGTCCTATATCTCAGCATCTTTTCTACAGCTTATTATAAGTTCAAATTGTAGCTTTCAAAGCTGTCTTTTTTTTTTAACTTCTTTCTGGCCTTCTTACCTGCCTTTTAGAAAAGAATGGGCCAATTTTCTTTCTTTAAACAATTCCTGTCTCCCTTGCTTACTCCACAAATTAAAAAAAAAACAAACCCAACAAACAACACCAAAAATAAAAACAAAATCCTTGTAACAAATAATCATGGTTGAGCAAAACAAATCTCCACATTGGCTGTGTTGAAAATGTTTGCCTTATTCTATTTCTTCAGTCTTATCATTTCTTTTTCAAGAAGTAGGTAGCATGCTTCATCTTTAGTGGTCTGAAATTCTTGTTGGCCATTGCATTCAGTAGAGTTCTCAAGTCTTTCAAGATTGTTTTTTGTTTTAATGCTGTTACTGTATAAATTGTTCTCTTGGTTCTGCTCACTTCATCCTCGTCAGTTCATACTGATCTTCTAAGGGTTCCATGGAACCATTAATTTCATTATCTCTTGTGGAGCAATACATCATGATTTATGAAACCATTTCCTTTTGTTTGTGATTCTTTGCTGTTACAAACAGACTTTCTACAAATATTTTTTCTACAAATGGATCCTTGTCCTATTTGCTTTTTTTCAAGCATAGACCTTGTAATTCTGTTAGATTTGGCCCAGTGTTTTAGCTTGTTGAGATACTACCTGTGGGATTCAATGTGATAGTTGTTCTTTCCAGCTCTGTGACATCTAATGACTCGATAAATATACCATCTCTGTTTTTATCCAGATGGCATAGGGTTATTGACAGACCATCCAGGGGGACTCTATCAGAGACTTTTCTCAAGTTGATGATTGACATCTAACTGTTAATGTACTATTTTGGGGGGCTAGTCATTCAGCCAGTTCTAAATTTGTATTATTGTCTGATCCAAATCTCAGCATCTTGTCTACAATAATGCTTCTCAAAATTTAATTAAACTAAGTTGCTTGTTATCCCTCTGATTTATCAGAGTAGTAATCCTGTCAAGAAAGACAGATTAGTCGGGTCTATTAAGCCATGAGACTCCTTGTGATTGTTTCTTTTTCTAGATTTTTACATACTATTCTTTAAATAATATATCCTAGAATGTTACCAGGGATTGAAACCAGCTTTGCTAGTTCACAGTTTGGGGAAAAAAAGGACAGGCACTGGACTTGTGATTCTATTGATACAAAGAACTTCCATGTGAATGAAATCCTTCTCCCTATGTAGATCAATACTGTCTCTCCAACTTAGAACCTTGGAAAACGGGGAAAAAAACCCCAGATTTTTGTGGCATTATAGAAGCTCTTAGCTTCTGAATAAAGCCTAATTACTTTAACCTGTGTTCAATAATTTTGGCAATATATCTCAGCTCTAACGTGATTTTTCCCACTTTGTATCCTTAGTGTATCTCTGTAGCTACTCTTATAGACATATTGGGCCACCCATTCTTCCCCAAGCAGTGTCTCACATTTCCTTCCCTCTGTGTCTTTTGTTCATGCCATTCCACATTCACGAGGGGTCTTCAGACCATTCTCTTTTTTCCCCATATCTCCAGTTATTGAAATCCTACCTCCCCAAAACTCTACTTATGCCCCACCATAAAACTTTCTGTGATATAATAAGTCTGCTTATGGCAGTCACTCTCTTTTCATAACTCATAACACATATTGTCCCTATAACTAATTTGACAATCATGTGCTGATTTGTGATGTATTTTGGACTTTTGTGTTGTTATTCTTATCTTGGTTAATTTTTCAGTGTTTATGCATTGTATCTCAGTCCTCAGCTGTTTGAGGGACCATGTCTTGTACATCTTTGTATCCACCATTGTATCTGACATGTAACACTCAAAATATTTGTTGATTTGATTTTGAGGGGAAAAGTGAAGAATTTAGAACCAATCCTTGATTCTTTTGGGTTAAGCCTTTATGTTTTCACTTTTGTGTATATCTCAGTGAAATGTTGATGTCCAAAGAAAAGGGCTTATGTAAAGACTGAAGTTCTTCTGGGGGAAGCTGATTTAAAGTTTTATGGATCATCATTTGTTAGATTTTAAATACTCTTACTAATTACAATACTACTGCTCATTTCTCTTTTAGAGGGGCAGCTGAGGCACATTACAACAGGGGAGCCATTTGTCTTTAATGCCCGTGAAGATTTGCACCGATGGAACCAAAAGCGCTATGAGGCTCTTGGAGAGGTATCTTTATCAAAGTGTTTTAATACTGAAAAATAACCTTTTTAGGCTTTATTTTTCTAATTGCAAAGTTGCACTTTAGAATTAAGTTATGAGAGCTGATAAATTGTTCATACTCTATTTTTGTCCAAAAGTGATTTCCAAGTGTTTTAGAGCTTTACATTGTTATGTTAATGCATGAGAATTACATTTATTATTTAAAATATCATTCTGAACATGGTGCAAAATAATTTTTCTATGACCATTACATCCTGAGGAAGGAACATTGAAGCCATGTTTAAAGAAATTATATTTTGTTTTCAAAAGGTTGGATTCTGAATAGAGCAGGAGTAATTATCAACCTCTCCTGCCCGCCTCTTGAATGCTTCCCCCATAATACAGATTGGGATGACATTGAATAAATAGATTAGTTAAGTAAAATTATCATTTTAAAAATTATATTAGCTTTACCTACCCATGAACAATAAATATTACTTCAGTTATTGAGATCTGAGTCTATTTGTACAAAAAGTTATAGTTGCTCTGCTTGCCTTGGCTCACAATAGGATTAAAAACCTTGTGAGTAAGAGGTTACTGATACACATAGCCACATACTCCCATAAATACTGGTTAGGATCCTAGAAAAGATAACTTATTTCACAAAGGTGATTGTGTTGTTAAAACCATGTTGTCTATTCTCAGACCTGTGGGGTTTTTTTTGTAAATTTTTAAATTTATTTTAAACTTAAATAGAAAATGAGAAAATAAAAAACATTGCCATATATACAGCAGAACATTAAGAAAGGATTCAATATAAAACAGTGAATTTCCATTTTAAGAAAACTTATATAATAAATACTACACATTGTTTTCAAAGCTGCCCAGCTTTTCTTTGTTTTCTTGTTGGCTTTCTTTTGTTCTCTGCTCTGTACTTTTTACTTTATTTTTCCCTCCCTCCTACATAGTTTTATTTATATAAGAAATTTTTAATTTAAAGTAATCAAAATTGTCCATTTTATACTTCAACAGTGCTCTCACCTTATAATATACTTTAAAGTCTGATATTGCTGAGTCTACTTCCTTTACATCTTTTTTCACTGTTTTTTTTGAAGTTCCTGACCTTTTGTTCTTCCAAATGAACTTTTAAATTATTTTTTCTAACTCAGTAAAACATTTTTTTTAGTAATTTAATTGGGATGACATTGAATAAATAGATTAGTTAAGTAAAATTATCATTTTAAAAATTATATTAACATTACCTACCCATGAACAATAAATATTCAGTTATTTAGATCTGAGTCTATTTGTATAAAAAGTGTTTATGTTCATATAGTTCCTGTGTCTGTTTTGACAGGTATCTGCTCAGGTATGTTATACTGTCTAGTTATTTTAAATGGTCTAAGACTTTTGTTTTAGAAGTGATGAATATTGATACGTGTTTCTTGGTTTATAGTAAATAATGACATATATTACATATATATATGTATTCAGGTTAATAAATATTATTAACAGAAGGCTTAATGCTAAGAGCTGGGTATACAAAGATAAGCTACAACAAAACACTCGTTCTCAAGTTTATAATGGGATGTGGTGGTATGTATATGTGTGTGGTGGGAGTGGGGGAAGGCATGGAAAGAGGTTTGCAAATAACTGTGACACAAAACAAAGTAAGCTAATAGCAAAGGGGAAAGACTTTATGGAAGCACTTGAGGATGAAGAGGACACCTTTACCTTGGGGAGTGGCTTGCATAAGCTATTATAGGTGTTATGCTCCCTGAATTAGACCCAACAGTTAGGAAAGGACCTCAGTGAGGCGGTATGGGAGGAGTTCATTTCAAGTATTGGAGAAAGAATGAGTCCCTGCATAGAAGTGGGAGAGGCAGGATGAGAATGAGGTACTGAGAATAATCTTGTTTGATTGAACATCGTTACACTGGGCCTGACTCAGACTAGTCTGGTGATTCAGGTTTGGGATTAGAATGAAATGAGATACTCATAAGACCATCTAAAAATTAAGCGAAGGAAATTTACTTAGCAACTTAGCAATAGCATGGAAAAGATATTCAGTAAAGATACAGCACTGATTCAGCAGGGTGAAAATTCCGTGCCTTCATATTTACCTTGGTGGCATGCTAGTCAGAAGAGATGTTAAAACTGAGAAAGGAGTATCTGAGTGCACATGTGCTTTTGTAGTTAGGTGACTGGAAGCTACATCAGTGGTTTGAATCTAAGACATATGAACTAATATCTTGAGGACAGTTTTAATACCTTTTAAGGAAAAAACTAATCTAAGTTGAGTGGGATAGATGTTGCTCCTGTTATGCCAGTTAGTTTGCCTACTTTCTCATCTCTGTAAAATCTTTATGAGAGTAATTTACACACACGTCAAGGGTATGCTTGATGGAAATTTGAGAATGGAACAAGTAGGCTCTAACAAATGACTCTGAAGGAGAGCGCACCTTTGTGGTCATACAATTGATTGGAAGGGGCAAAGAATACAAGATCCTATTATGTTTATTGATAATAAAAAATCATTTGACGTAGAGCAGAGTTCAATCTTTAAGTTCTCCTGAAAAAAGTTATCTCTGTGCTAGGAAAAATGCCTGGCCCATGATAGGTGCTTAATAAATACTTATTGATTGGTTACAAGATTGCAACATAGATAATTTTGTTTATTGACTGTCTGATTATTAATGTCAAATTTAACATAAAACAGGGCTATATAAGCTTGCTAAAGTTATTTGCCACTGTTATGAAGAATATCTAGCTGTCAGTTCATTTGAAAGAGGGAGTTCTCTTAGTTAGATAGTGAGGTTCTCCTGATGCTTCTCTTTATGAATAACACTGTCTTAATTGCTTCAACGCATGCAATACTACGTTTTCCTTAGTGAGGTCTATAACTACTCAAGAGTTGGAATTAATCTATGCATAAAAAGATTACCTACCAACCAGACTATGTAATTTATTTTGATATAACTACTCAAGAGTTGGAATTAATCTACATAAGAAAAAATTGCCTACAAATCAGACTATGTAATTTATTTTGAGGAATAGTCTATTGAATTGGTCTGTTAGTATATCTTTCAGACACTACAAGTTGACAGACAACTGGACCCAGAATTGAATAAGAGGAAGTGTGGACCAGATTGCTTTTGGGAAACTGTATAGTAATTTTAGTGACCTCAAGCTTTTCCTCTAAACAGAAACTGGTCTTTTTAGTGCCCAACTTCTTGTGATGCTATCTCTCTAATTAACTCACTTTCCCTCACCAGAGCATTTCTTCTAAACCTTTTCATTCCTTCTCAAACCTTCCCATCTCACTCAGTGGAGAACCTTGCTTCATATTATACTGAAACAAATTGAGGCCATTTCCCAGAAGTTTTTTTCTTGTCCCCTTCTCTTCATCTCACATTACGCAGATAACTTTTGCTACTATCACTTTCTTCACGCCTATCTCATATAATGAGATGGCCTTTCTCCTTGCAAAGACAGACCCTTGTGCATGCTTAAGTGATCTCATTCCATCTGCTCTTTTCCAACAGAGTTTCCCCTAGACCCCATTCTCTCACTTATGTTCAAACTTTCCTTGTCTTCTGGCTGCTTCCTTACTGCCTACAAACTTTCTCGTGTCTCCCCATCCTTGAAAAGCTGTCACTCAGTCCATCTATACCCGCCAGCTATTATCCCATAACTCTGCATCATTTTGTGGATAAACTCCTAGAGAAGGAGGTCTACAATAGGCAAGTCCACTTCATCTCCATTCGCTCTCTTCTTAACTCTCTATAGTTTGTCTTCTGACCTCACCATTCAACTGAAATTGCTCTCTGCAAAGTTACTAAAGATCTCTTAATTGCCAAATCTAATGCTTTTTCTCAATCCTGCCCTTCAGGACTTCTCTGCAGCCTTTGACACTGTTGATCATCTTTGTCTAGATTTACTCTCTTCCTTTTAGGTTTTTGAGACACTACATTCTCCTCCTATAACCCTGATCACTCCTTCTCAGTCTCTGTTCCACAGGGCTCTGGCCTGGGCTGTCTTCTCTTTTTCCTCTATGCTATTCTAGTTGATGATTTTATGTGCTCCCATAGATTCATTTATCATCCTTATGCTGATGATTCTCAATGTTACTAATCTAGGCTTTACCTGTCGGGTGACTTCCAATCTTTTTTTTTTTAATGCTTTTTGGTGAGGCAATTGGGGTTAAGTGACTTGCCCAGGGTCACACAGCTAGTAAGTGTCAAGTGTCTGAGGCTGGATTTGAACTCAGGTCCTCTTGACTCCAAGGCCAGAGCGCTATCCACTGTGCCACCTAGCTGCCCCTACTTCCAATGTTGCATCTCCAACTATTGGACATCTTGAACTGGATGTCTTATTGACATGTTAAGCTTTCTCTGTACCCTAGTTTTGTATGTCCAACTGTTTATTGGACATCTTGAACTGGATATCCTTAAGTATCTCAAACTCAATATGTCTAAACAGAACTTATTATTCCCACCCACCCACCCACCGACTTCAAACCTGCCCTTCTTCCTAACTTTCCTTTTATTGTTTAGGCTATTCTTGTCATTGTTATCATGCAGTCTTGAAGCCTGGGTGTTATCCTGAAATCCTTATTGACTCTCACCCCGTATATCCACTCTATTGTTAAGAACTGTAGATTTTACCTCTATAACGTCTCTCAAATATGCCATTTCTCTCCTCCGACACTGCCGCTGCCCTGGATGGAGGCCCTCAATTCACACTTGCTGGTTGTTCTGCCTGCCACAAATATCTCTCAGCTCCACTCCATCCTCTGCTCACCTGTCAAAGTGATCTTCCAAAAGGACAGTTTTGACCATGTAAATTCCTCCCCCGCCTTCAATAAAATCCTGCATCTCCCTGTCAACTTCAGGATCAAATATAAAATTCTCCTTTGGTGTTTAAAAATTTTCGTAGCTGCTCTCCTACTCCTTACCCCACCCCAAATTTTCACGTCATTTCACACTTTTACCACCCCACACACTCTGTGGCCAGTGACACTGACC